AATAAGAAAAGGTCTGTTACGTTACGATAGCCTTTGCTAGAGGGCCGTGCGACTGCGAATAATGTTCGAGTGGGGGGAGGAGGAGGAGGTGAAGGGTGTTTGTTTATGTGTTCTGTCTGTTTTGTTATTGAAATGTAGAAATGTGCAAACTTTCTTTGCCCAGAGTGATTTTAATGAAACTATGTGATTAATACTTTAAGGTTTCATTGTTAAAACTCGTGACCTACAACGAGTCCTTGTTAAAAGTTGTGTGACATTGACATCTGCTGGTTTGTACTGTGTAGCGAATATGGCAGCTGTTTGGCAGCAACAAGTTTTTGCTTTAGATGCGAAATACAATGCCCAACGTTCGTCGAATCATCCGACTTTCAGTACGTACAATTCCTGATTGCATTGTTGTCATGTAGAATCTTCCATGCGATCGTTAAAATGTCAACTTCATAACCTTTGTAATAGATCCACATATTACTTGAGCACTCTAATAATTTTTTTACTGGGTGTTTTCAGGAACTCAGTACATACGTAGACGAAGTCAGCTTCTTCGAGAGTATCCTAAAAAGGAGGTAAAGTTAAGTTCAAATAGGATGACTTTTCTGTTGCTCAACTATGGTTTCCAATATCTGTAACCCGTTTTGCTTATTATAGGACACTCAGATAAGACGTCAATATGTTAAGCTTCGCACCCAAATTTTGCAACAGCGTTATGGTATTTCATTTAGTGATCAAGCCAGCTTAAGAAGCCTAAATATTAGTGCTCGTAGTAACAGCCGTGTAAGCTGAAGAACTTTTGAATTTTCTTCTTGATATTTAGACGTAATAGTATTCTAGTTTTGTTGTTGTATGCAATATTTTTCTTTATTTTTCAGATCAGTGAGTCAATAGAATCCTTTCGGCAAGCTTTTGCAGGTGATGATGGTGTAAGCCTCAGCAGTTATCCTAAACGCACAAGCAATGCTAGTGGTGTTGTCCCAACTCATCAGGCTGAAGCATCTCGTGCTATTGTAGGAGGAAATACAATAGACGAGAACTATGCTTTTGTTGGGGTGCATCATATATTTGACCAGGTACCTCCACTTAATTGCAGTTTTCCTTCCCTCTTTGAAATCCTTTTTTAATTTTAATAATACAATTATTTTATGCATTTTTGTAATGATTTAGCACAAAGCTGCTGTAACAATGTGCAAGTTTGCAAACAACGACCGATCTCGCCTCTGCTGCGTGTCCAATGATGGCATGGTCTCTTTGTGTAATGTCACAGCATCTCCACCCAAAGTTGACAGTATTCTTGATGGCCACAAAGGTCCAGTAACTGGTGAGTACTAAGAAGTTGAATATTTTGTCTTTAAAAAAAATGTCTTAAAACCTTCATTATTTATTAGTATTTACATTTTACAGGTTGTGATTGGTCTATTGCCAATGACTTACTTGTCACTAGTTCCACTGATGGCACTGTCAGACTATGGGATGTGTCATTGGTTTTGAGCCCAAAGTGTCTTAGAACAGTACAAGATCCAGATGGAGCAGAAGTTTTGTGTTGTGCATTTGTACCTGCCAATAGTAATATGGTTGTGGCAGGTAACAGCCAAGGCTTGCTTTTGGTATTAAATATATCAACAGGAATTTACCCTAGACCACGGAGCAATGGTAAAATTGGTGGCCGTGTGTTATCAATTGCATGTGAGTCAACAGGTCAACTTATTTGGGCTGGAAATAACAAGGTGAATGGCGCAAATTTTTATTTGGTTAGATCATTCATGTCTGATAATTGTACATGTTTTAAAATGATTTTTTTCACCTTTTTTTACAGGGTGTCATAGTTTCCTTCATTGTTGATGCAGGATCTGGCAAGTTAACCAAATGTAGAAAACTGAACATAGCAGAGAACTGTGCTATCACATGTTTGAGCTGGCGTGCATGGATGAGTAGGGAGGCCAGAGATCCCACTTTACTTGTGAATTGTGCTGCAAATGTGATTTGTTTGTTTAGGTACAGTAACTTAATAATGTATTTTATTTTTTTAAATTCTAATTTGTTATTAGATTTTTCAACATTTTGTCCTCTTATGATGCAGGGTCTCTGATAAAAATGGTACTCTGCAGCTACGTCGAAAGTTTTCTGTTCGGCACAAGCATCAATTATTGCATTCCACATTCTGTCCTATTATGTCTTTCAGACAAGGAGCATGCATTGGTTAGCAAACTAAATTTAACCCAATTTAAAAACAATGTAAGTTTATTTTTGTCTCTCTATTAGTTGTAATTATGGTTGTCCATATTATGTTGCAGTAACTGGGAGTGAGGATTCTTGTGTCTACTTCTTGGATATTGAACGAGAGGGGAAAGCGTGTGTCAACAAACTTCAAGGACACGCTTGTCCAGTATTAGGAGTCAGTTTCAATTATGATGAGAGCCTCCTTGCAACCAGTGATGTCCAAGGACTTGTTATCATTTGGCGTCGAAATCCGACTGAGGCATTGTAAGATATCTGTGATAGAAACAAAAACAAAAACTGTCTGTTGTCAATAAAATTATTCCATGCGTTACGTTTTGTGAAATATTTTCCTGTTGATTGCCCCATAAATGGTGCAGAGCTGCGGAGCGTGTGTTCTGCCGGCCAGCGCCTTGAGGTAGGCAATCCAACCGACGCCGCCGCCTCACTTGCGCGCCGGCTGAAGCGCCGGCCGGTAGGCAACCCAAAGCGGAGCGCGCAGATGATGTGATGCGAGGAAAACTTTGCTGTCCCCGAACAGAAAATTCAATTTTGTTCGGTCATGTTACATGACGCTGGCGCATCATGCGAGCTCACGGACTTCACCAGAGCGTGAGCGGACACAGGCCGGAGAGGGATATGCTCAGATAACAAATCAGGAGAGCCCCGGTGTCACGTGAGGATTCGCCGAGCAAAGGTCCACCGGGTAGCGTGTGGCGTGTCCAGCCCGCAGATAGGACCGTCCGAGCCGAGCCGCGTGGAGGTATTTGGGTGGACACGTACAACCTGCGATACCTGTAGAGCCCCCCCCCCCTTTACACACCTCCCCTCCCCCTCAACTCTTGTCGTTCTCTGCGGCTGCTCCCCCTCCCCTTTCCTTTCCCGCTTCATCCTCTCTATCATGCCCCTCTCTCCATCTCCCCCCCCCCTCTCTCTCTTACTCTCTCTCACACACACACACACAAACACACACACACTCCTCACCCGTTGTCGCCGGGCCGGGCCGACGCTCCGCCGCGGGGTGCCTGTGTGCCTCTGAGTCAGTCAGTTCAGCCGCGACCAGCAGCTCAGCAACTCCTCCGTACGACCGGCCGGTGAGTGAGCGAGATCCGGCGGGATGAGTGAGAGGGACACACTGATGGGGACTTATTTGATAATCGCCGGCTTCCGTGGACGGCGGTGAGAGCGTCGCGCAGGCAACGTCGTCATTCGCACGCCGCGGCTCCCTTTGCTCTTGCCTATATATAATGTGAACAAGGGAAATACTGTTATTGCGATTTTCCAATGAACGAACACGACTGTGTTTGCTGAGGGAGAATGTCGTTGTCCAGTTTGTGATTGGTCCGACTTCTTTGTCGGATGTGGGAGTGGCAGGGGAATAGTACATGATACAGTACCAGAAATACCGTGACCGCGTGAACGAGTGAACGAGTGAGCCACCGGGCTGCCCCCCCCCTCCCCTTCATTCAGTGTTATCTCTTCGCTCGGGTCGATTGGGGCAGGCGCAGCAGAGCCCGCCCGGTTTGTTCGTTTGTGGTCTCAAATTTCACC